CCCCCCCCCCCCCCCCCTGCAGGACCAATCACCTGAAGGTTCGCTGAAGGGCAAGAGGGCCGAGTCTCCCCTCTGATATTCTCACAAGGGCTTCGAAAAACTCGAGCGCGATCGGAAATCGGTCCTCCGCCACGTGGTCGAGCGAGTCGCAGATCACCTGGTCAATGTATTTTTTTTCCCGACGTATTACGTACGTTTGCAAGTGTCAAGGAAGAGAGGATTATTCCTCCTCCAATGTTTAATTTATAGAGCAATAACGGTTACAAGTGTCAAGAAAGCAGAGGATTATTCTTCCTCCCATTTAGAGCTGGAACAGAAGAATAATTTACTACAAGCGTCTAAACAGAGAGGCTCGCTCATCTCCCTACGTAGATAATGCATGCATGTATGCAAGTCATCACTCCAGAGAGGGTTCTCTCTCATGACAGCACAGCAGTGGCATTCTAAGGGTCATGGAAGGTGAACAGGCAGCAGGGCCAGTCCAGAGCTGGTTGGCAATCATACAAAGCCTTCATACGCACAGGCGAAAAGACCGAAGCCGAGGGGAAGTATGATGACAACAAGAATTATAGTAAAGGCTGGACAGCACGAATTATCGCATTCGCGTGCGATAGACGAATGTTCCTACAAAACATGCCCTCCCCGAAAAACAACAAAATGAAAAATACAAACTAAACACGCGCCCTCTTCATAACCGAAAAACAGAAACACGCGGAGAAAAAACAATAAAAGGCGGCACAGCACTCACCTCGATGTTAACACCCAACAGTCGGTATGTGCAAAAAAGCAGTTACAAAAAAAAAAGAAACAAGGTACAACGGACACAGCAAATTGTGGAGAACACCTTCATAAAGGGTAGTATAATACCGTGTATGACACAAGATAAGACACCGCCTTGACCGATTCTCGAAGCTCGATTTCTCAACTGCAGGAACAGTTACAACACCGAAAACGGCGGCGTTGAAAACGTCTCGTCGAGAGCATTTCGAAAATGTATCGTTTCGTTCATGCATCCTGTTCGTCGTGGAGTAATCGAGGTTTGAAAATCGGTCCAGGGGGAGTGTTATCTTGTGTCATACACGGTAATCTCCCAACGTCTGTCGAGGACGATTGGTTCCCTCTTTCGCAAAAAATGGCAAGAAGGCAGCAGCAGTGTCACAGAACACACACACGCCTCGATGGCGGAGTCCAACAGCGTTGGTTACCGCGCAAAAACAACAATCACAGAAAAACACGGAAAAGAGAAAACAAAAACTTGTCGAGATCACCCTCATAAAGGGTACTAATAGAGCAATCTCCCAACGTCTGTCGAAGAGGATTGGGCTTCCCTTTCGACAAATGGCAAAAAGGGAGCAGAAGTATCAGAAGCACAGCGGGCGCACAACCACTCCACGGCGAGGTCCAAGAGCGCCTGCGCACAGCTCGCACCGGCCACCCCCGCAAAAAAAAACAAAAAACATGTCAGCTGACAGGCAGCGGCAGTGTCAGGACACACACACACACACACACACACACACACCTCGATGGCAAAGTCCAAGAGAGTCCTCCCGCAGCTCGCGCCCGTAACCCCTCCCAGCCCGGCGCCTGCCCCTACCATCATGTCCCCATGGAAGAAGGGCGTCTTCCCCAGCAGGCGGGTCAGCTCCCGCATGCAGGAGGCGGAGGTTTCGCCGTGCCTCACGTATACGCCGGCAAGGAGGAGGAAGATCGTGTCGCGCAGCCGGAGCGGCACCGATCTTCCCTCACCGTCTACCACCGAGTCCGGGTCCTAGGTAACCATATGTAGGCGTGTTTGCCAGGGGGGGGGGACGTAAGGATTAGTAGGGTTGGTCGACCTTCTCGCCCCGTCCTGGGTACAGATAAATAGGTGTGTATTGAGAGGGGGGG